GGGGAGTCTCTGGGAGGCTCCCCAGACCTGGGTCCCCCGCGTGCACGGTCGGCAGGGGCAGCTGCGTGAGTGCAGGTCAGGCCGCGGGGACCGGCCCGACTTCCGTCCGTGCCCGAGCGCACTGGGGCCGCGGCGAGACTCGCAGTTCCGTTTTTGTTTTTTTTTTGGCGGGGACCAGCCCAGGGAAGTGAGGGCGTCCCCTAGGTGCTGGTGGGGCCCCGGAGTCTGAGACAGGTTTCCAGGTGAGACGGGGCAGGTGAGGGTACAGTGCCTGTGGACGGCCTGAGTCCGAACAGGGCAGGTAGCCCCGCTGCAGCCAGTGTAACTGATCAGGGAAGGGCCTTCCTCACCGAGGAAACGGGTCCCCGGGGATCAGGTGACATGCGTGACCTCCGAGACAGCGGTCCCCCGAGGCCGACTGGTTCCCCAGCCTGCACGAGCCTTGCTGGTGGGCCAGCCCGGCTCCCTGCCCTGCGGAGCTGGCCCTCGTCTGGGCAGTGCTGCTGGGCTCCAGCTGTCTGTCTACCCTTCCCAGCCAGGTGTCCTGCCGAGAGTGGCGCCCTCACGGTCCAGGGATGTACATGCAGGTGGAGGAACGCACAAGCTCCTACCTCCATCTGAAGAGGGCTCCCGGCATCAGGTCCTGGTCCCTGCTGGTTGGTAAGGATTTCCATATTTCCCCCCAAGTTAAAAATTTAACTTTAAAAACAGATGAAAATGAAACAAATTTTCCTTCCTTTATTTAACTACCCCAGAACATAGCAGCTACTTTATTTCTTTGTTTCCCCCGGGTTTTATCCTTTGTCCATGCTGTTACGTGGGATGTGTGTCTGTCGTGTCTTTTTCACCACTTGACACCCTTTAGTAAACATCGCATACTCTTTCGAGGTCCCATTTTGCCCCTTTTACTTGCTTTTGTACACCCGGTTGCAGTGTCTAATTTATGCCGCAGGCCCACGTGATGGGTGATAGCCTGTTGTTTTTCCTCCAAGTGAGGGAGGCTGCCCTGGCCTCCATCCCTGTCACCGCCATTTGGAGGGTCGTGCACCCGCCAGGCAGCTGCACTGTGTGGACTGGATTGCAGGTGTGAGAGGTGCCACCAAACCTTCAGCAGCCTGTCTCTGGTCCTTCTTTCCTGTGACCCTGCACGTGGCCTCCTCCCTGTTTCTCCTCATGTGTCCTGTTGTGATTCTTCAGAACAGTCTTGTCTTCATTCCATACCATATACCGTTGGGGTAAAACCGTGTCGGGCTCCTCCATCCAGTTCCCCAGTCTGCTCTGGATCCTCGAGTAGTCAGATATGTCAAGTGCATACTGTGAGTGGCACATACCATGTTTCCGAACGAACTTCCCCCACTTCTGAGCCTGGTGGTCTTCTCTGCCCTGCTCCCTGCTCTTTTCCCACAGCCATCGCTGGCAATGGGAAGGAGGTGGGCTCTGGGCTGGTGGTGGCTCAACAGCAAGGTGCCTGCTTTCTCTTTGCAGGAATCTTGTCCATTGGCCTGGCTGCTGCCTACTACAGTGCAGGTGAGAAGCAGCATCTGCTCCCAGTAACTTTCTCAGCTCTTTGGAAAATAGAGAAAAGAAGGGAAGCCCTCATTTGCGATCCACCAATGCATGGCCTCTGGGAATGCCGCCCGCCCCTCCGCCTCCTAATGGTTCATGGACACAGCCCACCTCACGTCTGTGGGCTGGTGTATCTCCCTCACACCCAGGCCCCATGCAGTCTGCACTTCTCACTTATATCTTGGGCATTTTCACAAGTCAAAAAATATTCATTAAGAAGGTGCTCTCTTGTACCTGCTTCAGGTTCTGTTGCAGGGTGAGCCATACTTTCAGCTACTCCCTACAAGCTTTCCCACCTTTCCCGCATCACAAACCATGATGTGATCAGTGGAGACCCAACCGCCTGTAGACACCCAGAGGAGAGCAAGGGCAGAGCTGGTGTAGTGTGGCCTACATGGTCCTGAGTGACAGACAAGCAGGGCCCCAGATGCTACTCCTGCCAAGTGTCTAGGAAAGTGGCCATGCTGGAGGGGGGGACCCCTATGGGCACATCAGCCTTCACCCTCTGCTACTGCCCTCACCTGGCTGTGTCCTGTGTGTGTCCCTAGATAGTCTGGGCTGGAAGCTGTTCTACGTGACTGGCTGCCTGTTCGTGGCGGTGCAAAACCTGGAGGACTGGGAGGTAAGGCCAGCTCCAGATTCCTGTGGTGGGGACCACAGCAAGAGGGAAGGTTCTGGTCTAACGCCCCACTCTGAAACTCCAACAGAGTGGTTTCTGGGTGCCTGGGCTCGGCCGCTGGGTGCTGCCTGTCCATCCTGCTCCTAGGCCAAGGAGTCCTCTGAAGCCATTTTCTCCTAGGAGCTCTTCATGACTGTTTTCACCCAGATTCTTCCCAGGCATTGCCGTAGCACAGAACAAAACGAGGGGCGAGTCCCCTGCCTTGGCGGCCACTCCCTCTTGTCCCCCTTCATGACCCTTTGAGCTGCCTGGCCCTGTGCTGCTCTCTGAGCTCTCACCCAGTCTTCTCATTGGATGACTTTGGCTACTGTACTTGTGTTTTCCTTGCAAAGAGGAGAGAGCACCTGCCTGGATGCCCCAGCCCCCTGCACTCACACACCTGTCAGGAGTCTGCGGGTCAGGCTGCAGGTTTTTGGCTTTGACTGAGCAGCACTTGGGGCACCGGGTTTGGGGTTCTGACTGGGATGGGAAGGGAGAGGGTTGCTCTGGCGAGGGTGGGATAGTCAGTGAGCCCAGGTCCCCTCCCTGGAGGTTTGTGTGGTTGGCTCATGCACAGAGGCCAGCAGCCCGGTGACCACCTGTGGCCGGTTTTCCAGGAAGCCATCTTTGACAAGAGCACCGGCAAGATTGTGCTGAAGACATTCAGCTTATACAAGAAGCTGCTGACTCTTTTCAGAGCAGACCATGACCAAGGTGAGGCATCAGGAATGAACAGGACATGGGACTACTTTGGGCTGGAAGGAGGGCAGCGAGCGGCTGAGTGATGCTTGGGCCTGGGTCTGGGCCTGGGGCCTGGGAATGGGCTGGGTCCAAGCTGGCTGCTCGGTAATCCCACCTCTTGGGTGAGCATGGAGTGCCCCTAGATACATCCTGGCACAAAGGACATTGCCAGGTAGCCCCAGCTAATTGTCCACTTGGGACCAGGAAGGCACTTTCAGCAATTGGGGAGATGAAGCAGAAAGGGGCAGCGTCATGCTCAGCTGGTTAGCCGCTGCAGAGTGGTCACGAGGACAGGCAGGCCTTTCAGGCCATGACGGGTCCACTGGATGTTATTTCCCACCCACACTGGCCGTGAGCCAGCAGCTGTGTGACCCTGCCCTGTGGTCGCTGACCTGTGACATCAGAGGTCAGGGTCTCAGCCGTATTCTGGGGTTCAGCCTTGGACACAGTGACCCACGTTTTCTGCTTCATGCAGAGTGGCCCTGAGGCAACTGTGTGCAGCACACGGTGGGGGACATGCTGCCTCTGACCTGCCCCCGACCTGTCCCCACCGCAGTGGCCGTCCTGCTGCATGATGTGCGGGACGTGAATGTGGAGGAGGAGAAGCTACGGTGCTTTGGGAGGGGCTACGTGGTCCTGCTGCGCTTCTCCACGGGCTTCTCGCACCCCCTCACCCAGAGTGCTGTCATGGGCCACCGCAGGTGAGCCGGGGGTTGGGGGCTGGCTGGGGCTGCTGCTTGTGCCCCCTCAGCCCAACAGGTGGCCTTCACAGCAGATTGCCCAGCGTGGCGGAGGACC